AAAAAAAAAAAAAAAAAAAAAAAAAATCACTGCAGGGAGGAGGGAATCTGTGAATAAGGGCAACAACTCTCAAAATTAACTGAAAAACCTTACCTCACTTTCCCTCAAAAATCAAAGCCAAAACTTGTTAAAGCATCCTGACATGTTGGATCCCATTGTTTTTATGTTTTTAATATTGAAATTCAGTTCTTCTGGAGAAGAATTTCCAAATCCAATTATGAAAGTTTACTAGATTTACTCTCTCCTGACTTCTCCTGTTTTGCACACTGCAAACAATCTTTACAATTAAAGTTCCTGCTAAACTTATAAGCGAGGAAATTAATTGGGGGTGGAAAAAAAAAAGTCAAAACATTTTTTTTCCCTTTTCATTATGAAATTAGAGAGACTGATAAGAGACTTAGGTTGGAGACAGACATGCCTAAGAAACAGTCTGTCAAACTAATTTCCAGGTGTAGACAGTTTAAGAGAACTGCACTTATGCTTTTCCTTTTCAAAAAACTTTCAAGCAGTAAGTATTGGATTGAATCTTCTATACTTTTCCTCTACTCAACTCCATGCACAAATATCCACGCATCCACCGTTTAAGTAAACATAATGTTCACATTAGAAAGATTTTTAGAGCCAAATTTTAACCTGAGCATTATCAATCTAAGCACTTAGCATTTCTGCAATTCTATAGTGGAACTGTCATGTATTTCATTAATACTAGCCATTTTATTTTCTAGGTTAGCATTCACTTTGCGGTCCATATTTTGTAAGAGTGCTGGAAGATCAAGAACAGAAGAAATGACATAGTGAGGTACTGGGGAGGTATTCATAGGCTTTACCACTGTTTTATTTATCCAGACAGTTGCTTTCAAACCAGCATTCAAACCTCCTTGAATATCTGTGTCTAGGGAATCACCAACCATGACACACTCCCCAGGCTGCACTCCAAGGAGATCACAACAGTGATGAAATATAGAAGGCGCTGGTTTTTCTTCTTTCTGCTCTCCTCCCACAACAATAGCATCAAAATATGGTTGACAGGCACATGCTTCAATCTTCTCCCTCTGCGTTTGCTTGTCTCCATTAGTTAAAAGAAGCAGGCGGACCATTTTTCGAAGTTCAGTTAACATGCATCTTGTATCCTCTGGCAGGATGAGATGCTGGAGGCGTGTCCTTTTCCACAGGAAATAACACTCTGCAGCCAGATTTCGATTGACTTCACCACCCCTTGTTTCTTGTATAGCTTCTTCCCAATGTGAAATTCTTAGATCAGTAATGCACATATTTGCTGGATCATGACACTCTTTGAGGAGCTTTACTTGGACCTTCTCACAAACACCGCGGGCTTCTCTTTCATCATAGTGATGTTTGGACTGCAAGACACTTATTACCTTTAGCAAATGAAAGGGAGAAAGAGGGTCTCAGTGGTGTATTATGCATTCAGGAACAACTAACACCTTCGCTTATCACCAGCCGTACTTTTTTCCAGCAGTCACAAGTCCATTAAAAAAAGCACAAGTTTTTCCATTAACGTATTATTCAACGTAAGTAAGGAAGTCTGGCCCCTGTGTACTTCGCACTTATGGCTGTGCTCCACCAGAAAGCACCTGGGATGGCTCCGTGCTTCTCAAAGGCACTCTAAGTTACTACACCCTTTTTCACATGTATCTTGTGCTTTGACAAGAAGTCCTTAGCTCCGTGGCAATCCTTCATGCTCTCTTAAGCCCTTGCTACGTTACATATACTACACAATTGACTGGCAAATTGCACGATAAATGTAGGCCAGCCACACGTCACGTCATTATCACACAATAAAAGTGACTTTCCAGCTATAAGAAAAGCCAACCAGCTATCAAGCTAATGCTTCAAAAAAGTGCAACAATTTTACGGCTGGTTTCAATCCAGCTTTCATTCGAATGTGTAGCAGGGCCCTACGCTACGAAGCAAGAGCCTTTTTTAAACGGCATCTTTTACTGGACCGAGTCGCTAGATCTCTCTGCCAAGTGGCTCAATAAGAGATACCACTGCTTCTTCCGTATCTCCTAAACCACCAGGGCTCCCATACTGCGCTCATGTAAGAAACAGATGCACTAACTACGTGAATGTGGAAAGCTGCTGGCCCAGCTAGGCGGAGGCAGTTGTTATCCCCACACAATATAGCATCCCTCTTGATAAGAGCCCTCTAGCTTCACCGAGGGCTGAAGCCGCGCGGCCTTAGTTCCCTCCTGCTGCTACAGGAGCGGGGCCGGTGCCACCCTTGATCTCCAGAGCCTGCGGGCGGGGGGGGCCTTGGCTCCCCCACTCCGAGGACCGTTGGGAGACGCTAGGGGGCCGCTGGGCCGATACCTCCTCGATGGCGCGCCGCCCCGCCGCCGCCGTGTCCACCAGCGTGTTGTCTAGGTCGAAGAAGACGGCCTTGACGCCCTGCAGCCCCATAGCGCCAGCCCGCCTCGCACTGCCCCAACCGTCACCGCTCGCGGACACTAACGTAGCTCCGCCCTCGTCTCGCAAAACTCCTCTAATCTCGCGGGAGTTCCAGCCCACGGAGGCTATGGGGGGGCGGAGGGGACGAGGAGGTCAACTCTCGCGAGGACCCGCATCTATGTGCCGGGGCCGTGGGTTTCGTTTGACTTGCCCCGCTGCTTCCCCTCGAGAGAGGGCGGGGGGGTCTGAGGCTGCTCTGTGCGCATGCGCCGCGGCGTAGGCTGAAGCGGCCGTTGGCCAACGGCTGTACCGCTGTATGGAGAGCGCTGAGGCGGAGGCGCTGAGCTCAGCAGCCCTTCCCTCTGCCGGCAACCAGCTGGGCGCAAAATGGGTGCATTCCCGTATGCCGGAGGAAGAGTGTACGTGCTTGAAAGCTTGCAAATAAAAAATACATTTTGCAACGGTCTAGTTGGTGTGATAAAAGATATCTCTTGTATCACACTGACCGTCTGGGTACACGAGGACCCCCAGTACATATGTGGTACGCTCCCCTCTCCGGCAAAGGGCCTTCAAAGCTGCCTGCATCTTTTGCAGACCCTGCGGGGTGTGACAAGTCTTGCGTGACCATCAGCCCCAAGTCACCAGTCCTGAGGAGCCGTGTCACACAGCAGGCAGGAAAGGGATGGGTCTCACTGTTCTAGACCTGACACTAGATCATTTCCATAATGGGCTGAGACGAAAGGAGCAGCAGGTCGCCGTGAGGAAATTGTTGCCCCTCTTTTAAATGACACTTCTGTTACGAGAAGGGCTCCAGAGTCGGGAGAGGCAACCGCCCCTCATCCATCTCCTGTGTGGCCCTGCTGGTGACCCCACTCCTCAGGACTGGTGACCAGGGCGTGCTGAAGTGACAGCCATGCTCTGGGGGCTCTCCTACACCATACAGTGCTTCTTATTACTTTTATGGGAATGCGAGTTGTCTGTCTTGACAAGAAAATGCCAACATTAGTGTTTGTGCAGTCCCAAAAAGGGACTGAACCAGGGGTCAGCAACATTTTTGGGCAGAGTGACAAAAACATCTGCAATCGTGATTTGTTGGCGTGCCAGGAGCGGATGGCAGGGAAGCTGCAAGGTACCCAATACTTGTGGCAGTGCCACCCTGGCCCCTTCCCTGCCATCAATTCTGAGGTGCACATGCCAAGCAAAATGCTTTTGTGTGCCACACTGGCTGGGGGTTGCCTACCCCTGGACTGGACAAATTTTGGGGCGGAAAGGGGCATCAGTAGCTATTGAGTATGGGAGTTATGGATAGAGATACAGCCTCTGAACTGGAGCTTCCTAGACCTTAAATGCTGGAGGCTGCAAGTGAGAGAGGAACACTGGAAAAAACCCTGGTCATACCCAGTTCACTACCTTTCAGCCTCTGCTGTCTGCCACCAGGACAGGAAACTGGGTAAGATGGACCTATGGTCTGAGCCAGTGAATGGCAATTCGTGTATATAATTACATCATTCTGAGAGGCAAGGATTTCTGAGGGTGATATGTTTTATTAGACCAACTATGTAGTTGGGATACAATTTGACAAGCATTCAAATACACGATATTCTTCCTCATGTCCAAATGTCATTTTTTTTACCTGCTTGAGGAGAGAGGCACCTTAATCTTCATGAAGTGCAAGCCGATTGTCTTTATGGAGGAGAATGTTAGGGTAGCTAGTCATATTTAGCTTAGTTGCACCAGCTTGAGTGGTGAATTATAGTATTTAAACTTTTCTTTTATATTCAGCCTTATTTAACCATTGCTTAAGTTTTTATATAGCCTCTTTATAATTTGAACTTTTCTTCTCCATTCTGAGGTTGCCTTGAGCTTGCTTTCACATTGTTTCTCTCTTTTCTTACCACTGTGAAAAGCTGTTTATGTTCTTCTAACATTACCAACACTGGTGTTTATAGTGTGAGTCTTGTTACTAGCTCAAATTAACTGAACTTGGCACTAACCAACTAAATCAGAGGGATGGCATGATTGGATATGTTAATAAAAGGTGATAAGAGGGGACCAGTTGACAGTGCCCAATTGCAGAGCCCTTGGAATTTCCAGAGTTGATGGACAGACCACATTAGGAGTCTGGGGCATGCCCAACTTAAGATACTGGTAAAAGACCAAACTGAGATGTGTGCATATGATGGGCTTGTTGGAACAAAGGAATATGATGATAGGATAAGAACATGAACAGTATGATGATCACAGGGAAACCATTCATTAGTACCTGGAAATGAAGAATCATCAGAAAAAAAAGCATAAAAGGTGGGCAACAAGGAAGTTGAGTGTGTGTTGTTGTCCTACAACATCTGGACTGAAAAACAGCCATTACCCACAGATGACCACTCTCTAATTTCAGGAACTGATTGGCCACCTTTCTGTGAAGTAGAGTAATATCTGGGATTAGGTGAGACTATTAAACTACATGTTTTTCTCTCTATGTAGAAACTATTAATGCATTTAATATATTATAAAGTTAGATTTTAGTTAGGTTGAATTGTATGAGGTGTATTCCGTGTTAAACTCCTGGTTAATTATGCTTTAACAATCCTTTAGCGCCATGGGGCCGTGACAGATAAGGTTGGTAGTCTTAAGGAATAGCTGATAATCTTTCAAAACGCTGGGGATAGATGTCCACATAGCTCCCCACCCCTGCCGGTGGCACGTGACCCCTTACCCTGAAGACGGTCTTCTGGCTGCACATGGACCCTTGGAACCTGTCGTGACAAGTGGCTGCGTCACCCCACCCCCTGCTGTGCTTTCTGGGCCCTCCTCTGCTGAGTGGCATGACAGAAGGCTTCTAGGGCATGCAGGCCACATGTTAAGTGCTCGTAGATTGGGATACGCCCACTGGCCACCAGTTGGACAGCCCTGAGTTAGACTATGGAGAGAAGGAGACTTAACAGATAGCAGAGGGAAAAATTGACAACTGTTACCAGGTTTGCCCATCACTTTGCGGGGGAGCTCATTTATTAGGGGTATGTTTCTGGGGTCTCTAATTCTATCAGTGTGCTGCTTGTGTTACTTGTGTTTCTATATGGAGCTGTATCTCTCCCTTCTGAAAGTCCTCACCCCCAATGGAGCTATCTTGCAGGACTCAATTTCAATGGGGTTGGGTTCTTCCAACCAGCAAATCAGTCAAACACAGGTATGCACATACACAAACAGGTCAACAGGACATGCCTAAGCCAGGCTGGGTTATTTAGCACTGACAGACTAACACTCTCATATGCCTTGAACTCAGTTCATCAGGGGAACAATAAAATGCAGTCAGACACAAGCACATGGGTTCACAGAGCACATCTGAGTCAGGCCGAACTATTCAGCATTGATAGGCTGACACCCTCACATGCCTTGAACTCAGTTCATCCCTTATTTCAGCAGAACAATAATGAATGCAGTTAGACACACATACACGCATGCTAACAGAGTACGTCTGAGCAGGCTGGTCCGATCAGCTCTTTCAGCTGATACCCTCATGTGCCTCAAAACTCAGCACGTCACAGTGGTTCTAGTAGTAACCCCCTTGATGAGCAGACCCCACTGTAGTATTGGGCATTACAGGGATCTTTGCATTAGGTAAAAGAAGCATTGCTGCAGAGCAAATGGGGAGGTCAAGGGGAAGAAAGATTAAGTGAGGTTCAGAGAGAGAGTATAGCAACCAGCTTGACCATAAAAGTTACTTATGGCCAGGTGTATGAACTTCTGATGATACCAGTAATAATAGCCATACAAGAGAGACAAATAAACAGTTACAATATTACCTAGTTACAATTAGGTTTTGGGGGAAGTCTAGCTTGAGTTTGATTAGCAGAAGTCAGGTTTGGAAAGCTGTTCCTAGAGCAAGAGAATAAAAGTCAGGTTCCTGGAGGCAGAGAGAGAGAGAGTGATCAGCAGAAGTCCAGTCTAGAAAGCTGTTCCTGGAGTGAGAAAGCAAAAGTCTGGTTTAGAAAGCTGTGCCTGGAGTAAGGGAATAAAAGTCAGGTTCCTGGAGTCAGACAGAGAGAGAGAGAGAGAGAGTTGGGCTCTCACCACTCAGCAAAGCTTGAACCAGCAGAGGTTCTCCCAGGTGTTTGTTGGAGCTTGCAGACGGGCAGAGTGCTCGGCATGATCAATGGAGGGATTCCAGGCAGAAAAGGAGTGGAACTGGTGCAGCTTTTGGATCCAATCATCAGTACAGTTACTTGAGCTTTGGGTAGGGGTTTTGTAGAGAACTAACAATGGCTCAAAGGAGAACACTAGGTTTATTTGTGGGTAAACAATGGCTCATATGGTGGATAATAGGAACTGATCTCTCCTGGCTATGAGTGGAATTCCTCTGAGGAAGCTCACAATACAGACAGGCAGATTCAGTGTTTTGGATACCAATAGAGGAGTCATTACTAGAATTGGTCTAATAAATGCTGAGCTGCCTGTGTGTAGATGTGGGTTGATTAGCATTTGGAGCAAGGATTCCCCATCATGCAGTGCTCTCCTGCTTTTCTGATCCCAGAATTAAGTGCGTCCTTGCCTTGGAATCTCTGTTCTCCATCCTGAATGCTAATGAAGGTGCAT